GCTGTCTGGCGGAAGTCTGTGGACTAGAGGGTCACGTTTGTGGAAGTCTAGACTGTGTGAAAACCCTGGAGAAACAACACAAGCAGTTGACGGTATTGTTTGGAAATGTAGTGATGAAAGCAAGAACGGAAACGGAACTGATAGCAGATTGCCATGGAGGAACCGATGTGAATCTAGTGACAGCACTAGGATTCTACAGCATGTTTGGTTCTTTAGAGTCACTATTGAATCTAGAACAGAAACATGAGATGGTCACAGCCATCAGCGTAGAGGTATTCCCAGGAGTTCTGCAGACTGAGCAGAAGTATATAGGAAAATGGAGGGAAGCAATCGAAACGGAGATGAACATCAGACACAGCGAAACTTATTGTAGACCATCAGGAGCACGATATTTGGTGGGTTCAACGTTGGCTCCAATGTGCAAGAGCAGATACCCTGTACATTTCGTGGCTGTGGACGTGAAGAGCACAAGAACGATCGTGGATCAAGCTTTTTCAGTGCCGAAGTGCGTGAGGTTGGCAAGAATGTCTGAAAAGTCTTACGAGTTACTGTGTAAGATTTTCTCAGCAGTTCCAGAAAGAACCAAAGAAGAGTTGGAGTCAATACTAGGAAAGAAATTCATGGGATATGTGAGCGGGAACTTCAGTGACTTTGAAAAACAGAAACAGAGAGGATCAACTGTCACAGATTACAATGCAGTAGATGAGAATGATGAAATCCACCGAGTGATGATGGAAGTGGAACCATTGCTGGAAGCTTCGGGAAAACGTAATTGGAGGAGCATCATGTTGACGCATGATGAGTTTCCTTGCCACTGCTTGCTGCAGACCTGGTGGTATCCCAAGCGTAGTAATCTGGTGTTGATCTGGGACTCTGGAGAGCTGCTCTCCATGGGTTTACCAGATTCATCACAGCCCATAACAATAGTGATAGTGGGAGTTATGATGGCGATACGATGGCTGGAAGCTTATGTGAGAGAAAATAATAGACAGGAAGCACCGACGAGAGAACAATTGCAGAAATTAGATTGTCTAAAAGATTTAGATCTTTTTGAGACAATGTGCAAAGTTCTAAACATTCCGATGGAGGTGAAGAAGATATGGGCAAGAAAACGATTGATGCCATGGTTCAGAGCTAACATGACTGCATGGTTGTACGAGTATGCGAAAAAGCATATGTCGAAACATGACAGAGTGTACAGTGAATATCAGCTGGACATTGGGGCAGGAGCTTTCAAGCGAGCTTTCGTGACCCATCGGAATGCAGTGACCACCGCTGTGAAAAGAATTTCCAGGACGAGCGAGCGTAGGGGAAATGAGAAGGCAGAGATGCTGAAAGAAGATTTGGAGAGAAACGTGACGTTGTGTCTCCACAACAGCTTCTGTAGAAACAGAGAATCAAACGTGGATCCCCTACCTTGCTGTAAACAGAGGGTGGAAGAGCAGAAGTGTTGGAGGACGGCTTCCAACAGCGTCAGGATAGTCAATGACGTGCTACAAGACACGGAGACCGAGAGTGCAGAGTCAGCGTCACAGGAGGAGGAAATGGAGCATTGATGAATGGTCGAGAAAACAAGAGGCAACAAGAAAGAAAATTAGAAGAATTTAGAAGTTTTAGAACTTCTAAACGACGAAAAAAGAAGAGAACAAAGGGATGATGAAGGAAAGTTAAAACTCAAAATTGTTTTATGTGTGTGAAAAACTCAAATGAGAAACCAAGCAACCAAGTTGTAATTGAAAACTGAAACATTTGAGTTGAGTTTGGAAATTGTTGCATTTATAAATTTGCATTTTGGTTTTAGTTGAAGTGGCTTTAGAGACACTCACTTATTATTTATTTAGAAAGGCTTGAGGGAAGAGTATATTTAAATATTCCAGCCTGCATGATTGTTTTTAATCACTTAGGAAGACTGATCACTTTGTGGTGACATGAAAAACTTGAGTAACTTCTTGAGGAGGGAGGTTGTTGCATTGTTCTTTCTAACCACAAAGTTCCTTAGTTTTAATATTCAGGACAATAAACAAGCAAGATTTCCGAAGGGAAGGAGCATAGTAGGATAATTTTAGCTTGTTGGTTGGCAGGACTGTCCTGCAAGCCAACACCTTTTAAATCTAGGAGAAAAAGTTTCAATCGGGATATTGACACTGGAAGTCAGAAAATATGTTTTATCTTAAGTCATATCCTCAATGTGCAGATTAATGAAAGAATTTGAAGGCTATAGTGATGTAGGATGATGCCATTTATATTCTGCAGTGAGTCGATGTGACGTAGGTAAAAGTAATTTCGTGCATTTTGTAAATTCTGTTCGATGACACTGTAACCACTTAGAACATTGCGCGATTCAATGAGGACATTGACCGGACTGTCCGGGGAGTATGTGACATTCGACCAGAATGGCCAAAATGCAGTTTCTGCAGAATTCGGTATTTTAGCAGCAAGCCTTCCGAATTGGCGATTTAGAACGGATAAGGACGTTATTTGAACGATTAGCCAAACGGTGAAGGCTGGAAGATTCTGGAATTCTAATTTTTAAAAATTCGAATTATGACGTCATATTTCTGAGAAACGTCAGAAACGGCCATTTTTAGCTAAAAGAGCAAGAAAAAACAGAACAACTTTTATCTGCGATTACGAACAGTACGAAATCGAGACTAAAAAACTACAACGAACTACCGAACAGCAGAGGACGTTCCGAGTTGCAACTATTGTGCTGTTACAATAGTTGCAAGGCCGTTGCGAGCAACGGTGAAGGGTAAAACCCAGCCTTCCGAGTTATTGTGAACTGGATATTAAGAAGCTTGATTCACCGGATTCAAGAATCCGGAAGGGTCTCGGGACGTGGACTTTTATGAACTTATATTGAATTTTAGTATCCGTCATGTCCTGACTTGAATTTAATTAAGATCTTAATTCGTTTTGACAAGAATGAGGAGCTAGAAGTAGGGGGGAAAGGGTTGATCCATCTTCGATGGAGATGATGATTTTTATCTACTGAACAAAAACAATAGTAATATAATAAGTAGTAGCCCTGTTTTTAGGAGTGACCTCGTGGTCTGGGGATACTGAGACCCAGCCATGAGCTCACTATTTTTGCATGTAATCTAGTTAATTTGAGCGTTCTGGTCGAAGCCGGAGAACAGTAACGTTTTTGTCAGCCTGATGTAAGAAAGACCACCGAAAAGTACTGGCTTGGTAGAGACGGTGAAAAACATGCAAAGCTCTGTTTAGACGCTAGCCAGTCGTCTTAAGACTTAGTTTTGTTATCCGTCGATATGTATCTTCCGGGCGAATGTTACACGGTGGTTTGTCCTGGCCGACCTAGAACCACAATCGTTACCACTATCAGCGAAGACCTCAAGAATCTGGACAAGAAAACGACTTTCTGGCGAGTCAAAGACATCAAGAAACTCGAGAACCTCAGTGACCTACAGAAACTCCGAAACGTTGCTATTGTCAGAGAAAATTGGAAACTCCTTTCTAATCATATTGCTGCGGCTGCCAAAACAGGAAACTTATCACTGAGTTACTTGTGATATTGGCGTTTACTACTACTAGCGTCTAAATACAGCTTCACATGTTTTCAACGATTATAATTTTCTGTCGTTCGCTGTATTTCTTATGTGTGTCGTTTTTGTCAGCGAAAATCTTCGTTCGACTTTCGCGATTTCAGTAGTCGCGAAAAAGAAAATTGTTACGTGTCGTGCATGCCTATTTCGAAAATTTAAAAATTGTTTCGTCACTTTAGATTAACTTCTCCGAAATAATATTAACAATATTAATCCTTTGAATTAGCAAATCCTCTCACTGTACTGTTCCGAATAAAAATTCGTTGACGACATGCATTTCAATCATTCTTTTTCAATGTCACATCTCGTTGTCTGGTATCCCAGACCCAGCTATGGGGTTATTTTCGCATGCAAACGAAAGCTGGTTAAAAATTGTTGTCCTGATTAAAATGATAATATAATAGTCAGCCCTTAAACAGATCAGAAAGACAACTGGATATGTTAACACGGTTCAAAACGAGTAGGATTAAGGTAGTTTCAAACAATTTTCTATTACACAAAATTATACAGAGCAATACTAAAGTTTTAGTAGCAATGTGCTGTTGTTCAAATAATCGGCTTTTTTCCACTTTCCCCACATTTGAATTTTAGTTTCTAAAAACTATCTTTACGTTGTCATTATGTTTGAGTTGTCAAAATCGTTGTTTCCTTAGTTCATAAAATCTCATAGGTGGAAAATTCAAAAAAAAAACGCCAAAATTTAGCTTCGATGACAAATATGTTCTCCAAATTGTGGTTATTAGTTAGTCAAATGTTTTGAAACTAGCAAATTTCTTCATATAAACAATTTAGTTTGTGCACTATTTCATCTGAAAAAATGTTTGACCCAACATTACGCGAGGTTTTTGAATTGAAAAATTTATACACAAATCAGTTTACAAAGAGGGACAACTATCATAGTAATACCCACATTTGTTCTGCATACCTTGCATCGTAACATCACGCATTCAGCTATAATAGCACGCAAGACAAATCAGAAAATGGAGAACTTGGAATGTTGCGGTGGGGGGGGGGGAGTGAAAAAAAGCTAACAAATAGTGCCTCATCTTCATAAATAGATTTCTGAAATTTTAAATGGTCGAATTTTTCTAATGGTAACTTTGGATTGTGTATCGAGCTTTTGCATGTTTTTGCTTTTTTCGATTTCTTAAGTTGTGGTGATGCGCATAACATAAGAAAAATTTTGAAACAGATTCCATACCTCTAGCAAAATTGAAATTTTTGACTGAAGTTATAAAGATTTTATGAGTTTAGTCAGAGCGTGTTGAATGCTTTTTTGGTACATGACTCTGCGTCGATGGAACATTTCTTTTTGCATCTATTACTTGTTGGTGAATTTTTTTTCCATTAGTTTCGATGCTTCATTGCATTCCATCAACCAAGCTTTCATAAAATTGAGAAAATAGTTATTTGTCATTTGTCTGTTTCTTTTCAGATTGCTTGCGCATTTAGACTTGTAGTCATGAGTTCAACGTCTGAGCTAGCGTGCGTTTATGCATCACTGATCCTGCAAGATGAGGGCCTAGAGATCTCGGCTACGAATATAAATAAGCTGGTCAAGGCGGCTGAGGTAAGCGTTGAGCCAATTTGGCCAACCCTGTTTGCCAAGAACATGACTAGTGAAAGCATTGAAGCACTATTGACGAACGTTGGATCTGGTGCCGCTGTTGCATCGGGTGGTGGTGGCGCTGCTCCTGTGGGTGGAGGTGCTGCACCGGCGGCCGAAGAGAAAAAGGAAGAAAAGAAAGAGGAATCAGAAGAAGAGTCCGACGATGACATGGGATTTGGATTGTTTGACTAGGACTCTTTTCCAGGGCAGAAAATGGATGGTTTCGTCTGACTCAATTGATTTGATGCAAATCATTTTGGATTTAGTGAAATTGAAAGTTTTCTGTATTTGTGTTTTCTATCAAACGATAGCAGAAAGCTAATGGACCTTTGACAAAAAGGGCTTGGTAGAGATGACTTGTACTCAGTGTTCATGTTCAAATCTGTACTTTTGTCAAGCATACAGAAATTTTGAGCGTGTCTGCATTTTAAATGCCTGTTCTATTCGGAGTTTCTTTAATGTTGGTTATCAAATTATCAACTGCATTTTGAATACCCTTAAAAGACAAACAGGCATAATTACACTTGCGATCAGCTTAGTGTGTTTTTACGAACCTTCTTTTTTTTCTGACCGACCACGCAAATAAAAACGTTCTTTAAAAGTGATAACTTATTCGGAAATTTCAATGTATCATTGGAAATTGCATAGCATCTGTTTCCTGCTTAAGTTGTGGCTAGTGTTTGGTACCTATTAACCTTCCGTTGCTGAGTGACTAGTGTCTGTCTCTAGGTCGCAGGTTTGCATCTCAGAGGTTGCCGAATTTTTTTTTTACTTATTCGAGGCTTGTTTCTAATTTTTGTTATTGCACTTTATAGAGCTGTTTTTTTGTCGTGTTCTCGCATGCGTTCCAAGCTTTGCCTCTGTGTATAAATATATGTAATTTGGTTTTATTTTAATTTTTCATTTTAAGACACTTACGAAAATTTGTTCACTCTTTGCAGAAATTTTAGTTTTTTTCTACAAAATTTACTCTTGCCTTTTCGAAAAAGTGGTACCAATTAAAGATTGACTTCTACTCTGTGTGTTTACATATGGGTATATTTTTTCTTTTTTACCTTTCTCGACAGTTTCAATGGGGTAATATTTGGCTTTTATCAAAGTCAAACATTGTTTGACTTTTATCAAAAACTAGTCTCTAAAATCTGGGAATATCAACAAATCGAAAGAATCTATCACTCGAAAGAACTGGTGGTCGAATTTCTACCTGCATAAGCTGCTTCGCCCATATTTTTTTAGACATGTTACGACCTCAAGGGGGCCATCTTTTGACCTATTGGTCATTTTTTTGTCTGAGTTTTCTCGAAAACTACGACCCCAAATCTGGGATCAAGGGTTGAATCGAGGAACATTTTCTATTATAAGCATCTGTGTCCTAATTTTGGCGGATCTACTGTGAATAAGCGTTCACTCCTCAATTTTGATAGGGCAACCCCCGTGGACTGGAGAAACTTCCAGAAACGTCGACCGCCGTGGACTGGAGAAACGTGCAGTTTTTAAGTTTTTACCGTTTCTGTATCTTTTCGTTTTTTCGAGTGAGATTCATTATCAAATGTGATATTAAAAGCTCAATCGACAGAACAGCTGTGGGAGATTGGCCGTTCAAATACGGCTACTACCTAATTTTAAAAGGGAAAAGGCCATGGACTTGAAAAAATTTAATTTTGAAAACCAGCACTTAAATAATTTAAGATCGGTTGAAGGCATATTTACAGTCAGAAAACAGTAGTGTTCCAACATAGTAAATTTTGGGATGTTAGCATTCAACCTTGTTATATGAAATTTTGCTCTGTTGTCCTTCTTAGTCGTTTGTTTTTCTCTTTTGTCCTTCCTAGAAGAAAAAAGGACGCGACAGTGTACGGATGTAGAGCAACTATAGTTCACCGTAGGCGGAGTAAAAGCAGAATGGTCGAAGAGCAGAATGGTTCCAAGAGCAGAGAAACAGAAAAATATCAACTTTTATTGATTTATGTGGGCTAATTGACAAAACAATTATTATAATCGTCAATAATGCCAAGAAAATGAATAAAATATGCATGAATTGAATAATTTGATCATTTTTTTTAAATTGAATAAAAAAATATATCGATTAAATTATTCGAATTATGCATAAAGTATTGCTTATTTGGTAATATTGACAATTCTTATAGTTAATTTACCGATTAGCGCGTAAAATTTGATATTTTTTCTGCTCTTGGGCCCCCATTCTGCTCTTAAACCATTCTGCCTATTGACTGGCCACCACGTGATTAATCAGGTCACTATCATTATTTAGGTGATGAGAATACATTGTTGTTCGCAGCAAAACACATTTTTTCGAATCATGTAAATAAAGGCACTATAAAATAATTTCCCGTTGAACTGAACCCAACTGCCGTGCCGGCAGTTTTCGTAGCTTCACGAGAGGTCGCATGAGCTCCTAATTTACAGTTTTTACTTACGCCATCCTTAAGGCACCTTTTTTGTATCTGGTGCGTTATGAGTTGTTTGCAAACTATCTAGAATAAATTCATGTTTTCATCGCACCTTCCATTTCACTCATTGCGCCTTACTGTCTGATCAGTTGCATATCATATATGCATATAAATATTAAACAAGTATCTCCAGCTGTAGCTGGGCCACTAGTGCCCGTTGTAATCGAAATTTTATTTTATTTTGGTTGTGGAGTTATCAATTCCGACTTCAGTGCATCATTTTTTTCTTCCGACCATTTCTTTTTTGTTTTCCACGCAAAATCAGGTGCCACAAATAATCATCGGAATAGTTCGAATGATATATAATATTAAAGCACTGTCACTCGTGATTCGAAAATCAAAAAATATCCAAAAGTTTTTGCCCAGTGTCAAGAAAAAGTGATGCCATCAATAATCGAAAACTAATTTCATCATTTGATGATTTTGTACCAGAGAAAGTTCCTTTTTCTAGTCTTCATTTTTGATTTGGACTCAGTAGGAAGCGCTGTTTGGTTCAATTTAACTGACAGTTATGCAGATACTAAACTGGCTTGGTTATTTGAATTTTTTCGAAGCTATATTCTTCTGAATCACAGAAATTCCTGATTTTATCTTGTAGTTTGAACGACAAGTAATTAGCATAGCACGTTTTGCATGTCTTGCGTTTTTTGAAGTATCCATGGCACCATTATTCTCCATTTTTTTATTGAGTATTTTTTGAGTTTTTGAAGCTGCGGATTTTTCTGGGCATGATTTATATCTTTGTAAGGATTTTTACACATGCTGAGCTTGCGTTATAGTATGAACTATCTTTTTTTTCCAACCTAAGTCGCAGATATTGTTGTGGCGCAAATGTTGCGACAAAATGTGTTCATTTTGAAAGTGTTCGTTTTCATCAATAACCAGCTATCAAGTACAGCCAATGCTAAGGGTATTCACGCAGACTATTATATTCGTCTTGAAAGTTTTCTAGAGGCGGAGGTGTGGTTTTATAAAAAAAAATTGAAAATTTTCATGACTTTTTTAGATCGACCAATTTGATTTTCTGAGCTCTCCCAGAACACTAGCAGACCGTAACTTGAAGGCCCGCGTTTTTCGGCGCTCGACCCCCCCTCAAAATTAGTTATACTGGCGCCGAAGGTGCCTTAAGAAGATTTTTGAGGCTGTTCAGCCAAAAATGAATGACGTAAAATTATACCAAACGGGAGACCCTCTGGAAAAATTTGGCAAACAGAATTGGGGGGGGGGGGGGGGGGGGGTCGTCCCTCCCCCTCGGTACGCTACTGATTCTATTACAAATAGCACTTTAGCTTCAAGGTATCATGTATCTTTAGTGTAGAGGTAGGGAAGGAGACCCACAAAAAACTAAGAGGGTTCGAACCTCGGCAGGGTCGGATGTGTTTATTGATTTTTTTCGTATACACTTAAAATGTGTCTGCTCTATAAATTGAGGCATATTAGTTGGTAAATTTCTTTTTTTTTCAAATTGACTGGTACTACTACTAATGCGTCATAATTGGCTATTGTCACTTAGCAATTATGTAGACTCATAATTGGCGTGCGTCACTTAAGAAATTTTTTAGACTCAAAATTTAACACAATCAGATTTTTACAGCAGCGTCATCGGTCATATTTTTGCTTGTGCATCCGAAGTGCAACTTCGCCTCTGTGTTCAAATTTTGATTCTAGTCTCTTCATGTGTCGCAAGTGATGAACATTGAGTAGTTTTTCAAAATATGTATTCTGAGCACTTTTTTGTGATCTGCTGACATTTTTTGTTAAGCTGCGGATTAGTTCTGCAAAATTTCGTTATACTGCTGTTATGATCACAGTCTCTACTTTTCAGCTCAGGTCGTGATTATAATTACTTTGCATTGCTATTTACTCAAGCGGAGCATATTGAGATACTACGATGCATTTTTTCCAACCTAATTTGCAATTAAAAGGGCTTCTTATGGTGGCACTAATCAAGAGGTTGCATTGGCATTTTAATACTATGTTCGTTGAAATTTGATACGTTATAGATTTCAAAATGGAATTGCTGCATCGTAGAACTTTTTTTCTAATGTACGCATTTTTTGTGTACTTGCTTTCATCTATTTTATATTTAAATGCGGGCTTCACTATCTCGCCATGTTTAAGCTTTTTCAACGTATTATTTTTGCATGTTTAAGCTATATCGTATATTGCAATGGTTAGAATTTTTTTCGATTTTCCAATTTGATTTTAGTGGTTAGTTCACCGAGTTTAAGTTAAGCAGCCCAATATCGAATTAGGGGTTGCGATATTGCCCTCCAATTTTGAATGCCCGAATCATTTTAGTTAACGAGATAAGACGATTTTTGAGATTTTTTCAAAAATTTTCAGAAATTTCAAATAACAAAATAATTTACAAAACTTGAAGTTCCCAACCCTGTAGTTGGGTGCTGTCGGAGTACTCTAAGGAGTTACAAATTTTGCCTCCAAATATGACTGTTCAAATCCTTGTAGTTTTCGAGATATGACGTTTTTTGTGATTTTTTCAAAAAATTTTCAGAAAACTTATATTAAATTTTTTCACAAAAGCTGAAATTATCAACCCTGTAGTTGGGTCCTGTCAGAGTAATCTCAAAGATTGCGAATCTTGCCTCCAAATATGATTGCTCAATTCTTTGTAGTTTTCGAGATATGACGTTTTTTATGATTTTTTCAAAATTTTTCTGAAAACTTAAAATATTATTAGTTTTTAAAAATCTGAAATTCCCAACCCTGTAGTTAGGTCCTCTTGGAGTAGTCTCAAAAATTGCGAATCTTGCCTCCAACTATGACTGCTCAATTCTTTGTAGTTTTCGAGATAT